ATTCATAATTTCGAAATTTATCGAAGTCTTATGTTTCGAAATGTATTTTGATGACATATATGGATCATCCTCAGCCATTCATACTTATGTTAAGACATTGTGAACTAATCTTTTATGCACATGTGAAGTTGAATCTTAGTTTTACTGAGCATCATATTTAAATGAATCTTAATATTACTAAAATTACATACGGTTTGTTACTATATATTCCCCTTACAAATAATGATATAATCTGGAAACTGGTCTTTTTAACGTTTTTTACCACTCTTTTATTCAGTTAATTATTGATGGTCAGATACTGCTATATAGTTTTGTTTCCAGTGTTGAAAGGCGCGACTCGCGCATATATTCGTGCAAGTTTGTGAAGAGAGATCAGTTTCACTGCAATGACCGCGCCATTTACAAATTCATATCCATGGTATTAGTGCAATCTCAATAATGGTTGTGACTATTTGTAGCAAGACCTTGAGATTAAATACATTGGATTATGCCATATAGTTATACTTTGGCTATTGTTATTTGAAGAGCGCTACGCTAGCAATTTGGAATGAATGAAACACCTTAATCAAGATCATATTTTCAAGTTCAAACATCTAATTTGATCAAACGGAAATATAATGTGACGGTGCTTACACTCAGAATCTGAATGTTCTCTTGGTTTTGCACACTGCTATAGATTCTAGTGGAGTTTCTGAAAACGTAGTCCGATTTTTATTTTTCCATATCCATCTTTGTGCCTCTAGTGATTTTTTTTTTCGAATTTTTCATTTTTTAGGCGATTTCCGACATACTTTCTAACATCGGTAATGTGGTTGACATTTCATATATGCAAAATTAGATGCAGTGAATGAACAAACATTGAATAAACAAAATATACTTATTATATCCGTCGAATTAATCATTCACATGCAAATTCACTGCAATTGCTGTTTTAAATGATAAGAGAACTTTTTATGCAGAGAACTTATCATACAGTTTGGTTCATCTGTGATCTAGTATTGTATTCACTTTTGATCAGCGAAAATGCGCAGAAACCCAACGGGATATCAAACTTGAAGTTGTTTTATATGTGGCACCCATTAATATTTTTTATTATCAAATGTATGATAGTAATTGTTCAAATTATATCAAATTATATTATAAATTAAAGTCAGTTCTGCTGTAAGCAGTGCTAGTGTGGACTAAAAGTAATGGCAGCACACACAGTTCGCTGTTTTGATAAGTCAGGTTAACCTAGTTAATATAAAAAAAGTACACGAATCACTCAGACTTTTTAGGATATAAATGCAAGTAAGATCAAATTATTGTTAGCGTATAAGGTAGTTTGATAACATTGATGGAAGTCTGCAGTCATCAGATTGATATAAAGTCTGCAGGTTGGTCAGATGGAAAAGTGCAGCTGTTGTAAATCCATCCCAACTCCTCTGATCATAATGTGTGCTAAGTCTTGGAAGTTAAGTTTTTTGACTTGCAACTGAACATTATTACATGCATTTTATTTGAATAGTTATTAACATGCAATTTCTGTAGTAGTTCTATCCAACTATATCTGCTACATTTGCTTCTAAAATGAGTCAGCACAAGTTTTCTTGATCAGCAGTACTGCAAAAAATCATTTCAGTATAGTTAGAATCTTTTTTTCAAAATGTAGTTAATCGAATTTTTCAAAACAAGTGATTTGTAGTCCGGAATGTGAGCTAGACCGAGATGGATTCGTGAATTGTAGATGGTAAGTGAATTTAACTTGAATCAGTTTAATATTACTAAACGATTCTATCAGAATGTTACTTCAGTGCTAACGCTCAATACTGCATATTGATATATATTATACAAGGAGCAAATCGCTTTGCCTACCTGGGCCGAACTTTTTACAAATTTATCTCAGGTACGATTGTGATTACTATTATAATAAAAGTGTGTGAGCAAAAGTAGTAAATAAATGTTGCTAGTTTCAATGTATTTATTGCAAGCAATTTTTTATTGATTACTCTGTTAAGTATCGCTTACTACCAGTGGGGCGTTACTATTTGATTTACAGTTTGTTCTTTTTTTTGAATCGTAATAGTGGCCTGTCTGTTGATCAATTTAAACCTCTTCCCACATATTTAAACCATTTATTCACTGCATATATGAGGAAGATAGATGTATATTGTTGCCATCTGCTTAAACATAATTTTTTTTTTTAAACTGTTCCTCAGGTTTATGGCAAATTCGCTGATTTAATCTTCGCAAAGCAGTTAAACAATTTTAAATACATTCACCCCTTTTTTGAGATAAATAGTGGATCTTACAAACCTTTGACTACTATTTTCAGAATGCATTTTTATTTATTAAGTACGATCAAAAGCAATGAACAAATCTCAAAATAAATATAACCGGCAATTAAGCATCAATTTATATAAAACCAGATGTAAGACCAAGCATGTATTATTTAGCTCTCCACGTTATTCTTGCTGGCAATGTTAAGAGATATCCATGATCATAAACATAGATGCGTTTATCGTAGGGATTATATGAAATCATATTCGCATTTCGGTATAAATTAATCCAGGGAATATTTGGTTTACGATACTTGTTTCGGTACAGATCATATGCTATTGCTATTTCACTTTTTAAATCATACGAGCTTCCCACCTGTAAAACGAAGCACTAGACAGTAAAACAAAATTTGAATTTTACATGTGTAATTTTATGACAACAAATTAGAAAGTGACATTATATCTTCATCATTCTCTTTTAATGTCAATTTTATGACATTAAAAGAGAATGATGAAGACATCTGGCTATTTTCTATGCCTATAAAACCTGGCACTCAGAGTTCTGAAACTGTCTGAAATAGTATAATGTACAAGAATGCATCTATGAACTCTAAAAATAAAAAATGATTAAATTAATAAAGATCACTTTCTAATTTGTTGTCATAAAATTCAAAATCATCATCTTGCTTTATAGGAATAAGCAATTACAAGCATCACAAACCAAGTACAGTACACCACAGACGACAAAACCGTTAGCGACTTGAGTGTGATTGATGAGAGTCAAATTCCAAGTTTCATAGATAGTTAAGTTGTTAATGTCAATCTTGGCTACTGACAAAAATTCTTCATTTGAATAATGAAACAAAACCCATAACGCATTCTCATCCACAGCCAAATCAAAATAATTCATTGACAAGTTGAATAAGTACTAAATTAATCAACAAACATTCATCAGTAATTAATCAGTTATTCATCCATTTGTAAACGTTCAATTCAATGTTTTATCCTTTTACTTTCTATTCAAATTAATATGTGCAAAAATTTTAATGCATAAAGTCTTACGTCGCTGCCTCGAAATGCAGCACGCTGATCAATCAGTACTTCATTGTATCGTTTCGAAAACAACTCATATTTGCCTATTTTTGGTGTTCCTGCTCGATGGAAGTAAAGCGAACCATTGAAGAATACCAAATTCGTACCATCGTATAGATAGGGTAAATGATGTCTAAAATAGATTAAATGTTACTATCTTACCATATCGAAACAATTTAAATAAACAATGGTGAGGAGAAACAATTGACTTTTTGCTTAATTAATTCTCATTTGTTATCACTATTTACTATTAATCGTAACTTAACGTTCATAAATATTATTAGCACTGCATAACAGCAGTACATTAAATAAGAGAAATGGATCAACTCATAAACTCAAGTAGATGAGTAATAATTCCTCGTTTCAAGCATAATCTAAAATATGCCTAACGTCTTACATCATTTAAATATCAAACTCAGGAATCACTGTCAGATTATGACTCACGTGACGAAAATACGCTGTCTTCGCATGTCTCCTTCATCCAAGTATTCTTCAACTGAGTTACCTTGAAAGTGCTTCGTCATCCAACGTTTCATCATGTCCTTCAAGTTTGGTTTGTATAGTCCATACAAATATTATCATTACTTTTTGTCAGAATAATCACTACCTATTCAGTACTCACTCCAGCTTAACAGTATTTTTCATTTTTGTCAATTTAACAAAAATATACATTAGTAGAGAACATTATTTGATTTCTGTTCTATGTGATGTTGAATAAAGTGAACAAATGTTGGGTTATTATTCACAAGTAGTTAAAAGGTAAGCTAACTGATCCACTTCGAGGATACGCGTCACGCATCCATGCCCCGAAATAAGTATTTGAATGTGCGTGAAATATCGGCTTGCCAATGTCATTCAAATAGCAGTCTGCAATAGTGATCACAATGATTTATGCTAAATTTGAATAAGTCATGCTACCATCTTAGTAAATTGCACGCATCAAAATCAGTCAATGAGATAATAACTCACGTGCTGTTGCACCTTCAATGTAAGGAATTTCCGTACTAACTGGTGGAGTAACGGCTTCAGAAGCTTTTGTTATATTTGGCAGACATGTCCGAACACATTTATCAAGTTCTGCCATGAAATCGGTATCATTTAGAGGCATCTGCAAATTGACTTATTATGGTCTTGATCTTGAGGAATGAATGACATTGAAAATTTATTACTTAAAGTAAAGAAAATAAAGGAAACGAACTAGCTGAACAAAGTGAGGAAGTTGACGCTCAAGATGTCTTGACCCAGTTTCACCATCGAGTGTGACTGATGTTGGGCAGACTCTTGGTTCCACTTTCGGACATTCGGTTTTTTGCAGCATTTCAAAGTTTTCAGCTACCGGACATCGGGGACAAATTCCAGGTTTTCCTGGCATTCCCGTAGGTCCTACAGTACTACGAATCTTAGGTACTGTTTTTTCACAGAAAACAGCTATCAATGCCAGCGCATTACGGTCTCAGTTTTACTTTCAAGCATTATCGGAAGCATGGTGTATGTGCAGGGAAGAGGAATAAATGAAAATACCTTGAGGACCTGGTGGGCCAGGCAATCCCATTAAACCCTCTCGTCCTGGTGGTCCAGGCTTACCAGCATTCCTGAACGATGCTATTTGTTTTGGAAAATAGATATTGTCAATGGTTATCATGACTCAATTTATTGGGATGACATACCCTGGTGGTCCCGGTGGTCCCACTGGTCCTGGTGGTCCTCGTTCGGCATCTAATTCTTCACTGCAGTACTCATGTATTTCCAAACATTTAGTAAGCAATTCACTGTCCTATACAATAAAATTGAAATGATAAGCATTTTTTTCATTTCACATTGATTTTTCAAAAAGAATTCAAAAAGTATATAGCCAAAATTAGTTCAAGTTACAGGTTAAGTTCTAACTGCATAATCCAAATAAAAAAGATATATTAACTTTGAACTTAAAAGTTCTCTGAGAAGATTAAGAATTGTTTCACTGGAATAGCTGGTGACAAAATTTTGATGCATCAAAATTATTTAATGAAAGTAAAATAACTGTCATACTACCCGATTTATTCTTCTTCGTATCGTGAAAAAAACTGATACCTCCAGGGAAACTAATGAGAAATGTTTTGACATTAAGAATATATTGTTTCTCTATTAATCTTAATGAAGTACAATGTTTCATTAATCATGAAAAGTGATTAAAAATCTGATTGATCACTGATATGTTACTGAACAGCAAAGTAATATTTGTACAATATCATTTTTCTATCAGTTCGTGATTTTATGCTAAAAGAAACCATTCTGAAACCTCAATTTTCGAAAATAAGTGCATCAGAAGATCATCGTTTGTCGAGTTTAATAAAGATTTGGATAACGTTGAAGAAAAGGAGCGTCGAAAACGCTTCTGAAACGCTTCTTCTTTGAATTGCATCTCCAACAAACCAATACGTGAATAAACGTTTGCAAATGCAAGTAAAGTCAGTAGTAAGCATATTGCTTGACAATATTCAATTCGACGAATTAATTTTAGGTGATGTTTTTCATGTGACGTCTTACTAAAAACTTCTATGGAGTTTTGAATATCCATCTTTTTGTTTCCAAAACTTTATAGCTGCATTATAGAGCGTAATATGTAGATCCGACGGTTCACTGAAACTTAAGTCTTGTACTACTTAAAGTTTTTAGTAATTTTACTTATATATACTGACTGATTGATGCAGAAGCAAAAAATTTGGAATGATTATAAACAAATTCTCAGTAGCAGTCTAAAAATTTTATAATAAAGATTATAAATCGGAACAAGTCAAATTACGGAAAATTATACAATTTCTAGAAGTATCTATCGACTACTTCACTGAATTGAATAGCCAAGAAGGTTGAAGTTTAGTGCTTTGGCACTGATGCTTGCAAGTTTAGTTTATTAAATCATCAACAATGCTATGTAAATAAAACGCACAAACTGCACCCAAATAGCTTTCGGTGCAACTCTCTTCAGCAAGTCAGTGGTGTTAACAATAGCAATATTGACAATGTAATCTGCACGAGCATTATTCTATTTATTATTCATCAATAACAATAATATTTATCACTGACAGTAACTTTAATGTTGGTTTTTGAAAAACAATAATATCCTAAAATAATATCACAGAATGTGCCAATAATATGAATGGTGAGTATCAGAAGAATTTTTTGACTATGCCGAATATAGCAATAGTTTATTGTCAATATCACATAAACTGCTTTTATATGATATTCATTAAATCTACATTACAATTATCAGTTGACATGCATCAGTCACTTCTGCTTCATAATTTGTATCATTTGGTTAGTCATTTATAGTTCATGTCTTGATACCTTGACACTTGAATGATACTGTAGAAGTACCAACATATAGGGTTGTCTATACAGCGTGTTAGATATTAAAGCTTCAGTAGAGATAAATTCTCACTGGGATAAAAGATGGAAAACAATTATAATTCGTCGAATATTGGAATCGAAATACATTTCGAAACATAAGACTTCGATAAATTTCGAAATTATGAATTTTTTTCAGTTATCACTCGATGTGTATACCAGTTGCATTACGTATTTCCGAATTCATTGTGAATGGCACGACACAGATCGCACAGATCATGTTGAGATTGTTGAGATTCAAAATTAAAAAGTGTGGCAAAGAAGTGCGCGAAATTTCATGTTTTGTTAAATGGATCAGATTGTGACATTCACAACATGATCTGACGACAGATAAATGTATAGATAGATAGATATATCAATTAGAAATCTCACTATTTATCTATTTTTCATGTAATAGCAATTTGTGTGGGGCGTCGCCTGCCAGTGTAAGCGCATCCAATGAGCAGAGTTTAGCTCGAACACTAGTCTCACTTTGTCATGGTCATCAATCATACTTTTATCCTGAACGATGCATGAAGAGATTTGCTATTTCAATCAAATAATCAGTACGCAAAAATAACTTCATAAATTTTCTTGCCATTCACCAACAATGATATGAATGAATATAAAAGATTGTTATGATCATTTTGGAGGACTTGCACTGTTTCTTTTTTCCTTCTAAGAAATTAGTAGAAATTACTCCTGCATCTAACAGAGGCAAAGATTTGATAGCACTGAGTAGTAGTACACATTTTGGAAATAGGGACCACTCGCCAAAAGTAAGTAACGCAGCCAACAAGAATTCAGTAACTGATACAGTCCCGCTTTTCTCAATATTGCCGACAGACACTCAGTTTACATCTCCAGCTTTCCCGGTACTGTTTTTGCTATAATATTTCTCCGCCAGCTGAGTCATTCTCTCAGCACAATGCCGCCAAATAATGCGATGAAATAAATCATTGCCGCGAGTCAGTGCAGAACAAACGTCATCTCATTTGTGAAGAAGACTCTGCTTATCGAAGCAGTAGAACAGATTTTCGGAGTGATTCCTTCTAGAACATTCTTTTCCTAACAAGCAGTGGCGAGGAGATTCTCGCCAAGAAATTTGGCTTGCAATGGATAATTTATGCAACGTTGTCTCAGATTTGCTGGCATCATTTAAGTCGTAAATAGCTAACTTTCTTCTCCTCTATGCATTCGTCAAAAATAATTTCTTCAATTATCAAATCCCATTGCTACTGTTTCCTTTTCTCCAGTCAGGTCTGCGTTCTATGTTAGTTTACTTTCCATTATCATCACTTGGTTCATTCCCATATCATCATCATTAGGTGTGTTTTATCTACGCAAGTCTGCTCATAGACAGAAAAAAGTACTCTTGTGATTTGTATTGCAGCCAGGAACCGCTGCAAATGTATGCTGTAATTATCAGTAATAGCTGTAAGTGTTTTAACTACGCAAGTCTGCTCATAGACAGAAAGTACGCACTTTGTCTCTTCCAGTATTTTAAACTTCATTGTGATATATTACGAATATTTCTTTGAATTTACTGAGTGTTACTCCCAGTAAATTTTTAGAAATATTCGAAGTGGATTGCCATTGATGCGAGTAGTGTATGCTTAACGCTTCTGGACTCTTGTTTTGTTTAGTTGTTGGCCTCAGCAGTAGATTATTCTTTGCGCATAATTGTTGCGTTGCTTAAAATATGACGGCTTAATATTGTAAGGAGTATATTGAAGGTAATTACTTTTTTCTGGCTATTTGGTGCACAGCAAAAAAAAAAGAGTTTTTTTATTAGCATGTGAATATCCTTAATGATAGAAGCACAAGCAAGCAGCATTTGGAATCATATCTCGGCTTTTGTGAAATTATTTTCCGAGGACTGGACTTCCAATATGTTGTCCAAAGTGCTTTAAGCAACTTAATCTTTTTAAACATATTTGTAAGAAAGCAAAATTGCTAAATGCACCTCAAAACATGTGATCATTCGGAACGCTTCAAGCAAATATGTATATATTATTGATCATATAAAATAATGTTTTTTGAGTTTAGTTGGTCATATCAATTCCTACCGCCTGCGATGTTAGAGCCTCAGTTTGAATCGTTTCAACAGGCATTAACTGGTTGAGAGCGCACTTTCTGCCACCATTTCTGAATTATACTTGCAGCTAAGTTTCGTAGTTGGTAAGGAAACAAGCCTCCGTTACGTATTAAATGCTTAGCAATCTGAAAACACTCAAAAATTTGCCTGCATATGATTTATGACTGGACTATTAATTGACATAAGCGAACGGGATTTATTTCCATCTTACAGTGGTATGTACATATGCTTATGGATTCATTGTGCAGAGTTATTTCTCAGAGTTTGTGGTACTTCCGCATATTTTTTGAATTAAATTTTTGGTTTCGATGGGCAAGTTTAGTATGAGAGTAATCGGAACATTTAAGTAAGTTTTGAACTTATTACTGTTAATAATTTAATTGAAAATTAGTAATTAGCACTTGCGTGTACTTTTTGTTAGATTATCAAAGTTAAATTTCAGAATCATGATATTTCAAATATTGTTGATCAAAATTGGAATCTATTAACTTCTTTGGCCTTTCGAAAGTATATAAAAGAGAAACATTAACACACAGTAATCAATCTTCTGCTTGTCAGTGCTTTTATATATGCATCGTTTGGACTACAAAATGATTTATGACTGATTGTGCTGAAGAGAAACGCATATTATTATAGCTAGTTATTGGCAATTGAAGCAGTCAAGGCATAAACATCATTTTGATGAATAATCCGTCTATGATTAGGTCACTTTGAAATACTATCTATCTAGCAATAGAAAAAAGAACTACCACATCTTCACTCATTCATACCGGTCTTATTGTACTCTGTACTGATGTCTGCTGAAATGAAAGTTTGACTGAAGGAAACAAAGGACTATCTGACGTATTCATAATTACTACAAACCTCAAGCTAGTCTCTGCAAGCAGATCAATTATGCTCATTTCGTTACCATAATCCGCGACATGCGTAGTTTGTAAAATGATTTTTTAGGCATATTACAAGATGGGAGATCATGCGAATTATTCAGTAACAATTTATGTGATTAAAAAGTTCAAGAATTTCCATGTAGTTCTGTGCTGGGTTAGATTAGTAGATTAAAGAATCTCTTACTTGAATGAAAATTTGATATTAATATTTGTTTACCTGATAATGGCCATTCGCTTGTGCACAGCTCAATGGTGTACAATCATCAATTCTGGCAAGTGCATTTACAGCCGCACCACATTTTAATAAGTATTTTACGCAGTCATATCTACCCTTTTCGCATGCAATATGAATAGCAGTAAATTGATCTAAATCTTCCTTATGGATTAAATCTTCCTGAAAATCAAACTGTTCTTAAGAAGGTTACAAAGTTAGCACATGCCTCGAGATTGCTGCTTTAGCATCGTAAAAAATAAGGATTATCAAATACTACAAAAAATTGATCATTTATTTACAAAATTTTCAGACAGATTTTTAACGGTGTATATCGGACGTAAATGCTGTATTTGCTTACCGATTTATTAAGCAGCACTTCGATGCATGCTATATATCCGCAAAATGCTGCGCAATGCAATGCAGTTCGTCCAAGCTTGTCAGAATGTGTTATTTCGCAGTTCAGTTCCGTGATCATTACATTCAGTGTGTGTGCTTGACCACCCAAACATGTATAGAAAATTGGAGTCCTAAATTATAACAGCACATGAGAAATGGTTAATGAAAATACTTCATGAATAAAGTAAATAGTTATGAGCATAGGAACTGAGAAAAGCACTGAAGGTTCTTGAGCATTTGGTACTGATAATGAAGTAAGTATTTCTTTTCTCTGTCGTTTGATTTAAGTAATACAATTTTTACCAGCTTTCTTTATATACCCTAAAACTTTACTGTAATCTAGAATGACCACAGTGCTTTCAATCTAGCTACCAGTTAAAAACTTAAGTTATTGCGAAAAATATTCAAAAAGTATCTTGTTTAGAATTTACTTTTCTAGAATTGTACTTTAGCAGGATTTCTTACTTATCTACTCACAACTGCATTTTTGGTATTCTTTCCACAGTTGAGCTTTTTTTATTAATCATATCGTGGTTGTTTTTTGTAACATAGTTCTTAACTAAAAATATTTGCTAGTAGTTAGGCCATTTCAGGCCTACATCTAGTTAACTGACTTGTGGTATTAGTGGTTTAAAAACTCTGATCTTATTTTGTAGTACTACCAAGCAAGCCTTGCTTAAATTAAGATAATTTTTTATACTTTTTGAAAATTTAACAAAGCAAATTGATCGTTTTTTCTTTGCTACTTTTTCGAATGCTTCTGCACAGCTTTCTGTTATTAATGCACAGTTACTCATACTTTGTCCAAATGCCTATTATTTTAATTGGCATAAAAGTATTCAGATAGGTAAAAGTAGCACAATCTAACCTTCCTTGTCGATCAGTTTGCTCACAATCAGCACCAATCATTACTAGCAGACGGACAACATCTGTGAAACCTTTGGCTGCTGACAAGTGAAGAGGTGTCCCACCACCGTTGTCCACTTCCTGTCATATATAGTATTATTTCAAAGTTATAGAACACAACAACTAATGTATTAAATTACTAATTTATATTTTTTTCAATGAATATCATAGTTTTTTAGCCTGAGCTAAAAATTTTCTTTTGATATATTAGAAAATATGTGCTAATTCAATTTGAATTATTGAAATAAATCAGTGCATTGAACATTTCTTTCGTTTTTGATTCTATATTAAAGAGAAAATTCTAAAAATTACGGTGGTTTCAGAAGTAATCACTTATATTACATACGTGAATGTTCCATCCTTCCTTGACCAATAACTTTACCAAATGTAAACTTCCAATATGCGCAGCATGATGTAATGCAGTGTAACCATGCTTATCTTTATGATTTCGATCAGGATGGTAGTTTTCCAAAAAATAATGTACCAATGATTCCTGATCAGCAATCACGGACCACATAAAACATGAACGACCATCGCTGTCATATTGCTCCTGAAATTTAACTCCCATATGATACCGTTTCTGACTTGAAATTGGAATAACAATGAACAAGAACTTTGAAAATTGAACCATATGACCAGTAGATGCCAGTAAACGATCAACTACAGTTTGATGCCCTCCTTGCACAGCATAATGAGCAGGAGAGATGCCAAAACAATCACGTGTAGCATTACGTGCTTTAGCAGTTAGCAATTTCTGCACCATATCTTGCAGACCACGTTGAGCTGCATAATGCAGAGGAGTACGTGCATCGTTATCAAAAGTCTACAATTTTATCTTAACATACTACAGATCTCACGAAAACAAATTGTAAATAATATTTTAGTAGTGAACAGTGAAATTTAAGATTTTGTCATGAAGATTTGAACTGAATAGTTACTCTACAGCAAATGGTGTTGAAAAATTTTTAATCATCTTAGAAAGTGCCAAAATTCAAATAAGATTAAGTAGTGTGAAAGGGCTTAGCTTTTCTGACGGTGAATTACAGTCAATAGATAGATTTGTAACATTAAAGTTTTTAACCGTTATATCTATAACATTTTTGAAGCAGTAAAGTTGTACTGGCAGGTTTAGTTTTTATTTTCTATAATTTGCAAAACAGTGATTCGAAGAGATGCAAAAAAAAACGACAATGCTAGAAAAGTTATTAGTACTTCTGAGGGACATTCTAGCACATCGAGAAGAGTATCAATAACCGTGTAGTTTTGTGCAATTACAGCCAAGTGCAGCGCCGTACGGCCATCGTTATCACGTGACGTTATTGAGTTTATCTTACGCCTTCCTAATAGGATTACTACTTCTGATGCTGCAATTTCAATTATAGATCAGATTTATTTGATTAAGCATGTCAAAGTTTTTGTGCAGCGTAAACTGCACGTGTGTTGCTACATATTGTAGCGTTCTAGTTGTTTAATTTATTGATTCTCTCGGAATTACATTACTTGTAACCCTTCTTCAGTTTATATTTATCTTAAAATTGCATCAGAAAAATAGGTCAACAAAAGCTTGTCAATTGTCTTTAAAATAGCTTCTAGGAAGAGAAGTTATATTTTCAGTTTATTTGTAATGATCTGTAATGTTTTCGTCGTGAACACAAAAAAAAAGCATTTTTTCTGCATTTCTTCTAAATAGCAGCACCAAGTGATGAAAATATCTTAAGATATTGGTGAGTCGTTCTCTGTTCTTAATTAGAATTTTCAAGTGAACAGTTCACTTCTCGTACTAATTGATTAGTTAATTCATACTGAGGATAATAGAAATTTTTCATTTTCCTCCTACTCGTATGTTGGATGTAAATTAAATTAACGATTTTTCTTTGGAAATAAAAATTAAAATCAAAAAACTGAAACCATCTGCATAGCAGCTAGCAGCAGCACACATTAATGGGGTGTGTCCATTTCGATCTTTTTGGTCAATTGGTAGTCCGAGTCGTTCATCTAGGAGCAACTCGCAGCATTCTAGCCTTGCTCTGCTAGCTGCATAATGTAATGGTGATCGGCCCATATCGTCGGTCACCATCTGATAGAAATTTTCGCTATCCAGCGATGTTGATTGTAGTAACATCTAATTATGCATTTGTGTTAGATTTGTTTTCAAGTTTGCGCATTGGAAAAGCAATAAACATCTTATCCGATCTTACATTATATTAATTTTGCTATTTCAAGCAAGTCAAGTAAAGCACATTTGGTTTAGCTGAGTATCGAAACTTGCATTTATTCACCTTTAAGATTTTCACGTGTCCACATAGGGCAGCTAAATGAATCGGCGTAATTTGACGTCTGTTTTTAAGTAGTACCCACGGAGTGTCACGTATGTGTTGTGGTAGAGTTAACAGATATTTACAACATTTACGTGCATCACATTTCGCTGCCCAGTGAAGAGCGCTTTCGGAATTTTCTTCCCCATTTAAAGATCCAGGTGTCTTCCTGTCAACTTATTTGATTGCATAGTGATTTGTTAATTTCTGATTGAATAGTTATCCAAGTATTAAGTAAGACTTAATGGCTGCAATAAGATTTCAGGATGTACTAATTGCAGTCATGATTTGTTTTATCTAATTTCAAGTCTCATCACTTGGACTGCTGCAAAAATTAATAATTTAGATTAATCATTACAGATATCAAAAACAAATCAAACTTTGATATAATTTGCAGTACTCTTAAACGATCATAAAGCAGTGCGTAAGTAAGTAAAGAACGGCCACGACGTTTGATTTCGAGCAGTTGTGGACGTTGTTTGATTAGCTTTTCGAATTGTGACATATCATTGTCTCGTACCAACCCAATGGCTTCAACAAATGATCCATTCATCGATATAATTAATCTTAAAAAAGGAATCAAATTATTTAAGCTATAAATTAAGGGACATTTGTTTATAAAAGTAGAATATTTGGTTAATTTGATCAAGTCAGAACTTTTAACATTTTCCTCTGATAAGCACCGGTTATTTTCTACTCCTCTGAGGTCATATTGCAACATGGTTGATCAGTCAAGATTTAAACACGTTTATTCAATACTGCATGATCTTAATTCGCCTATTCGCAACGCATTTACATAACTGATGTTAATGTACGACTGATCGATAAACGAGTTTAGTGCGCTGTCACAAATGTCATCAAAGAAAACGACAAAAGGTGAAAATATGGCACAACTAAAAATTTATTTCTTAATGGAATGAATAATCGTTTAACAAGACAATCGTTTTTAAACATAATTATAATTATTAGAATTAGTTCTGTTAATAGTGAGTGACTAGAAGCAATTAAATGCTTTGAATTTGTCTGATTATTGCATTTCAAATTTGTCCTCAGTGTGATCAATTACTGCCTTTTTCGCATTGAGTTCAATGATGGATTAAAGCAATCTGTCGTTTAGTATGCGAATTTCAGTTAACTTTTAACTTATGACCAATCATTTATCAAGCTGCTTCTCTCATCACACTTGTCTCGAAAGACTGCCTTTTTTTCACTCGTAAGAAATGACTTGACAGATTGTGAACAAACGCAAGATTAATGTAGTAGAATGGCAAGTGACCACCAATTCTCTTTGTCGTTGAGTAACAGGATTTGTCCTCAATCATAAGAAACTTGATAGTCTAATTGTTTTCTGTACGCTAACATCAGAAACTAATTGCTATTCATAGAAATAATTCTATTTGTTGCATTAGTTGTTAGCTGTTAAAAATCATTTTTACAATTTGAAAAGTCAGTAATTTCAGTTTTTCGCATTTTTTTCTTAGCTTCCAATTTTTTAGTTCCAGAATTTCAAAAACTTTGCTATTTTTTATCAAGTCTGCTTTACTTGTTCAGTGCTTATCATCTGAGATTTTATTATTATTAGTTGTTATGATCTGTGAAGAATTTATCATGATGGGACAAGAAAGGATGAGATTCATATTATTATATAACACATTATCAGACAAATATTCACGATGACTTCAACGTTAATCGCGTTCTCGGAACGTTTTGAAAGTTGGTGGACGTCTCGATGATGGCCTTGGTCGTGATTTTGTGAGATTCCTCAAAATATTGAATATTGGTGGGGCGTTTAAGTCTAGGGCATATTCTTCTTGTCGAGTTTCTTCGATAAGTAAAGGAGAAGTGCTGTGTTCATCAAGCGAAGATAAATCTTCTGAAGACGCTACCGGTGCTAACGGTGGCAATTCTTGAATCAATTTGTCTCTGAAATGAAAGCAGCTTTGATAAAACTATCTTTTTTCTTCTCAAATATTCACAAATATTCTAATTTTCCCAAACTTTGTGTTTATATGAAATCTTAACCATACCATTATAAATTGTTGAATTAAAAATTGTGAACAATGAAATAAAAACTCATTTTTATTTTAAAACTATTTGATTTATTTAGCAGATCTTCAAATTACTACTAATAATTTAGAAATGAAAAAGCATAAAAATTCATACTTTTCGCCATCCAAGAAATCTAATTGCTCTATAAATAACTGTCGTGCGGTTTCTAAATTCTCACTTTTTCCATCAGATTCACTATCTACTATATCTTTGTGTTCTTCAATCAAGCGTAAATTTTCAACAATCTGTTAAAAATTTCATTTCATTCTTGGAATGAGGAAATTAATCCAATTTTAACCAATTTAATGATTAGATTCTTCTACTAATTCAACAATTATTTGGGAATAATATTTCTTATGCTAGCATGATTTCATTTCCAAATATTACTGACAGTCTATAATGGAAATAAAATGAAATAGTAAAAAATAGTAGAAACGGAAACTAAAGAAATGATTACTGTAATCGAAATTTAACAAAAGAGAAGGACAGTAATAGTGACTCTTTCATAGAATTAATAATATATACTCTCAGTGATTTTTTTTCTTTCAGCAGCAAACATTTTTAGTACAAACTTCAGCGTCAATCAATCTTTTGAAGTAACAGATGAAATTTGCATTTAAAGTTACTTTTTCACTGGCAGTTTCTAGTGAAACTATTTCAGATAATGTCGCGCGGAACTGACGCAACTTTGCTTCAATCAAAGTTTGCACGCAAATTGCTTGTCTTTCAACGTCACGAAGTTGATCTTGCGCATGCATTGTTTGATTGCTACGCAAAATACAAGGTGCAAATATTACTGCCAAATTAGCTGCACCCATTTTATTAACCGATTCCTGAACTAGTAATATTTATTAAACATTTAGAGTTAATTAATCAGTCAATTTAACATGCAAAACCTGTAGGAAATAGTAAATGTAATGGAAGTACGCAATTAAACATTTTTCTTTAAAAATATATCAACCAGCACTAATAGTCAATTATACACAATTAGATACACTACATAATTATTCTGTTAAAAAAATTTGAATATAACAATCGCATTTAAAAAATTGTTATTCGTGTAGTCTCAATAAAAGCGTTTCATGCCTCTGTATTTAAAATGTGTTTTCAATCAATATATAACTGAATCTTAAATAATTTGCGAGTTAACTTTGTTCATCAACTCTATGAAAATTGTGAATTTATTCGTCTTCGTCAAAATTTAAAATTTGCAATGCTGTATGAATAATGAATCAAGAAATTACTGATTTTAAAATTTGTAGACAGCGGTAAAATTAAGTCAAAGCTTGTTAATTATGACCCCCCAGACAGTTTAGGCAATTAATTAAAAGGTTTAAGATTTTCTAAGAAGTGATCGAAGATAATTTACATACAGTCTCGTAACCATAATTATTCATATTGATCTCTTAATAACCATCTTATGCAAATCAATGCCTCACCACACTATTTATCTTTAAGCACGTTACCTAATATGGTGGAAGATTAGTGATTCAGCTGTTTGAAGATGATAATATTTACGAATACTGAGACGTTGAGTAGTCTGCGATCTGGATGTAAGCATTTAGGTATGGACTCATCAAGCACTAATTTGCACAAGACGATTGGTTACTTTACTCACCTGATTAGCAACACGAGCCAAATGATACATCAATCGGTCCAAAACACTCTTGTTACATTTTGGCAATAATTCCATCATTACACTTAAACATTGTATTCGTTCAAAACTTTCCTGAACTTCTAAAAGACCAAAACTAAATTTTGGAAATGCAATACTGAATTTTAGAAAGTATCAAAGAATAAGTGACTGAAAAAGCATTTTAGATGGTTGAAGGAAATGACCAAGAAGTACCTGAAGCATTTAAAAAGTTTTCATAGAGATCGTACGTAATTAGAGGCTCGGGAAGTTCTCGGAAAAATGATTTCACTAAAGTTGTTATGACGTGAGTTGGGATGTCATCAAATGTAAGCTTCTCAAATTCTATAACATTTCATACTTTTTATCATAAATTACAGTTACATAGTTTGTTCTATATATTTGTAATAGCTTGTACTATCTCTTTCAACTTATGTCAAAATAAAGCCATGTTGATTTCCATTTGATTACTTTTAAAAGTAAACAATGTAAATGGGATAAATACTCAACAAATTGTTGAATTTCCAGTTGCTAATTTCTAATATACAATTCAGTTTTTGATAATTATTCAACGAATGATTGAATCTTAGAATATAGAGCGATTTCCCCTTACCTTCAGCGTTTTCAATTTTTCGACGTGCGTTACGTACAAGAACCATTGCTCCACTTTTTCGATAAATTCCTTCTACAAAAAGTGCTTTTAGCTCGATTGTTATGAATAACTTATTTATAACAATTGGAATAGAGTCTTGTTCATCCACAAGACTGCTTAAATCAGCACCGAAAAATCGCCCGCCAGTCTGCAATATATGTAGTTTATGTATTCATTTTTAAATTTGTTTCCTCTATCTCAATTTTTTTCACTTCTGTTAAATTATATTCCATTAATGTTGTTTTTGTTTTCTCATATTTTCACTGCTGAAAATAATCTAAACAAACACTCATAAGTAATCTGTTTGTTAAAAATCTGTTAAGGATTATAAGGATTTAGGCATTTCTTCGACAAGTTTAAACTTCCTTAAGTTTTAAGTCAGTCTTAAAATTTAAATAAATTTTTCGTAATTTAAGCAGCAAAAGTAAAGCGATAGATTAGAAAGTACCGCCAGCTGTAACGATTGAGTACAACTTGTTGGAATTTTTGTGTGACATTTTTTATGACAGCTTATTCGGCATGCCTTGCAAATAAATATTTTTTCTGCATGCCACATAAATAAATTGCAAACTTCGCAATAAGTAGGAACGTGAACATATTCTAACTTGAAGAGATGACCATTATGTATCTGAAAGTTGTTGTTATAGAATGAGTTCAATGATTCAGTGGATAATTTTGAGTTATAAGAAGTCCAACAATTAGATGCTTGATCATCAAGGTGATCCAAATTTCTTAAGGCATAAATGAATTTTGTGTGAAGTGACTTAATCCAAAGCTTACTGCTGTTGCATCCGGTTTCTTTCGTTTCTTGCGAACATTCTGTAAAATTTAATCATATTAAAAAATAGGAATTTGTGACCACAATTTTGATTAACACTATGATAGGTAAAATTATAAGTTGTAATCTGCAATTGACCTCTAGAACGCGGGATTTCTTCTGTAATTTTCGACTTTTCACTTGCTCATGCATGAATTCGTTGAGGAATCCTCGGAATGCATTCAGTCCAAGTGTTGTAGGGAATGTTACCTATTAATATCTATTATAAATGAACATATTTAAGGAATTACTTTCTATTGCAGGTAGCTTCTGAATACAAAGAGAATCACAAACTTTTATTGTCAATTTTTACGGAGATTTAATTTTTTAAGTAATATATATTATTTTCATTACTATTCATAAATCTGAATTTTACTTCAATCCTCATGGATGTCTTACGGTGATTTTTGCCGAGTTTTTATCATCTTTTTTTGTATACATTTTTACACTACTTACACATTCAAGAATAAGAAATTAGAATGCATAACTGATTAATCATTACCTGTTCCTGAGCTGAAACTTTGGTTAATGAACCTTCGAAAATAGTTATGAGATCGCGATATTTTAAAACTGTCTGATTTTCCTGAAAACTTTTTAAGAGTAGAAACAACTTCAAAAATTTTGATCAATCGTCTTTAGCTAAAAATGAGTGCATTAATTTGGGTAATTCTTTCATCATATTTAATTCATCATATTCGTATGGATGGTAACTTTCTCATATCTAATATTAATGGTCCGCACAATTTCTAGCAAAATCTAATCTCATTTGTTTTGTTCTGAAGACTATTTCGTATTTATGCAAATTCAATGTGTGCAATTTACAAGTAGCAAAAATTGATCATTTCATTACTGATTATTACTACTAGTTCAACCAAAAGTAAATAGTAATATAAGCAATAAATTTGCGCATAACTTCTTTCAATTTGAATGTGAAAGGGTAATAGTATTGTAAACAGACTTACAGAGATCACAGCTTCATAGCCAATAATTTCCATATGAAATTCCTTGAAAGCTTTTTTAAAAATTGCATCGATTTGAGTATCTCTTTTTTTTGTCTTGTTCTCCAATTTAACCAACTTTTTGAAAATGAAAATGTTGAATTGTCTCAGATCATTTTCACTTTCGATGATCATATCACAAGGGTCCGTCTGGAATTTGAATTCTTTCATATTTATACACATATTTTGTATATTCTTTTCATTTTGGAAACACAAATATTGTAATGAATTTTGTATTTGAAGTATTTTCACACTACAAATTTTTATTATAATTTCATTCTTGTTTAGCTAATAGAAGATATTATATATTAATTCTTTGTGGAATTAGATAATTTTCATTTTCTAAATCCACAAAATACTAATATATAAATACAAAATTCAAATTGCTCTTATATTTTGAAAAGACTTTTCTTTTTATGACATCATTTGGTTATTCGACCTGTTGCTTAGTTTTTTGCAAATTGAATGATTTAACCGGTTGAAGAATGAGTGGGCCGAATGATTGCTTTGGTGGCCAAGCTGATCTGAAAATAATTGTTACGAAGTTAGCAGTTGATCTAGAAATATTGCATGAGATCATATTTTGTGCAGTAATTTATATTATTCTATCAAATCCCATTTAGTCTAATCTTAGTTTGGAACAAACATGACATGATACTCAATAACAGTTTCTAAATCATATTCATTAATAGATCACTAGTATTATTATTACCTACGATCGTCACTGCATTTTTCTAATCTCTATTAATGGACTAGAAAAGAATGATAAATTAGTTCTAAATTTCGGTCATTGTAATAAATCGTCATTTCATATGGTCAAAATTTGCAAATGTTCAAGCTTTCTATTTGTATGTTACCAGAAAAAGATCTGAAAAAAATCACATATTGAATTATTTTGCTCCAATTCCTTCTTCGTAATCTAAACGCATCACATGCAATTATGTCAATTGACGATTGGCTTTTAAAAAAATTGATCTAATTACAAGAATTTGATTTAATTACAATTATATCATCATAATGATAAAAATATCAAAAATTGTGCAACATATTTAGTTGCAAGTTAGACAAAGAAAGCAAACAAAATTAATCACTTTATTTCCCATGCTTTTTTTGGTGGACTGACATCTGGCCGAGGAGATTGAACAGGCGTTTGGCAAGGAATTTTGCAGGAAAATGACAGGCATTCTTTGTGAAATGATAATTTACACTCTGTAAGAACCTCTTTGATTGATATTTCATCTCATATTCATTCGGTTTTGCAATATTAAATTACAGTTTGATATTGAATGTTACAGTTTACACTTGCAAATCATATAAATATCTTTAAAAAACTTTTAAATTTTGCTGCAAGTCTGAAAAGTTTTATCCGCAAGTAAATTCCTCCTTATTTTGCATAGTTCAGGAGTGTTTAGCATGAAATTATGATGGAAATTTTTTTATAATTAAATAAAAATTTCTTCTAAATTTTCTCACAAAATCTGACAAAAGTTTTATTTACAATAGAAAACAATACTTCTTTAAATCTAAAATTAACTCTGTGAAATAAAAAGTTAATGTAAGGAAAATGGAGTAATTTTATTCATGTAATATGCTTCTGAAAGATTATTTCTTACTTGAGCATTTATTTCCGTGATTAAGTATACCGGATAAACTTTTATTACATATCGCACAATTTTCATTCCGATGTAATCGAGTAAGTTTTAAAATATGTTTAAAAGGCTTTGAAGTTGATGCCTTCACTGCTTCGATTATCGTTACGCTGACAATTAATTTCTAGTAATTACTGATCCAAAATTATAATTTTATACTTAATGATCAAAAAATTGCCTATTTTTTTTCAAACAATTAAATGTAATTTTGTGATATTATTTAGTCTATCTACTAAGTGCTGAAATTTTGAAGTGATAGTATTAATAAAATATTTTGCAATTGTAAGTTCACAATTATTTATAAACCTTGCAGTTGAAGATTGGTGGCCTTCGCCATCGCTGGATAAGCTGGCACTTCGACGCAGTAAAAACGCTTTTAACTGTTTCTTTGCTCGCGTAAAACTTAATCGTTTGCTTTTATTTTTGCTTTCTGGACTCTGAAAATCCCAGATTTTTACTTTTGATTTGTAAAATACAACAAAGCATGCAAAAAATTCGTAGAACAGATCTTTTTTTCACACAAAAATCAAAAAGTTTATGCTTAATCTCAGTTCATATCATTGTGCTAAGTTTTATGTATGCTAAAATTACATTTTAACTTGATTTTTTTAAAACAATAAAGTGTAATAAAAAGAATATTTTTATCTGTAACTAGATGGCTAAAAATGAGTTGAATTAATTGAGAAAATTATGATTAATTATCTTCATTTATATTTTCTGCAGTAAAACTTTGTTAATTTTATGCAATAAGACTACATTTCAAAAAAGTCTAGATTTTCAGTAACATTTATTGAAAATCAAAACATTTTCATTATTTTGTAAGTGTGGAATTCAAGTTTTCTAAACTATAACAACAACTTTGTTTAACTGTTTTCGTTATTCCTAGCTAAAGTTATGCATGATTAGTTTCATGTCATTTCCTCACACATTTAAACTACTTTATAATACATATTGCTTTTGTCAGAATAATCGCTCGCTATTCAAATATATTTGATATAAAATTCAGTCGGTTTTTGGAAAATTGAATTTATACCGAAGGTATCATATGATCAGCTATTGAGATTTGATCATTTTCCGAACTAGCAGCTCTTCGAAACATTCTCATCTGAAAAAAACTCCTTAAGATTTTGTTTCAAGTCACAATTTTTTTCAGACGTAATTGTAAGAAAGCTGTAGAAGTAAGTATAGAGAATGTGTTCGCGAACTTATATATAAAGTGGCAAGAGAGATCAAAGTATCATCATTGAAGTTTCATGATAACCTATGGGGAAAATGTCTCAATCTTACTTGTAAATATTAAAAGTAAATGATTTTTAAATATTTTACTCTATTCATAAATGTTTGAAGAACAAAAAAATGAAAGTAAAGACCTTCTCAGCTGAACAAGTTGTTGCAATACTTTGTCGACGTTTAAAAACCGCTGAATCTCGTGGTGTGCTGCAAATTTTTTCTACTTCAATCTTAGTAATTTGAGATTCCAAATTTTTTTCCTAACCAAAATTAACTGTACATTCTTCTAACCAATTACATGCTAAATTCAAGTATACTTTATGAGAGTAAGCATAGCATTTATGTGTGATATTAATAATGTCATCGCTAACAGCTAATTGCTAAAGACGCTTAATGCTTATTTCAGCAGATATTTTTTTAAATTGACGTACTCGAGATTGTAAAAGTATTACAACCTTGTAGTCATAAGATTCATCATAACAAAGTACTGAAAAAGAAGTTATACTGGAATGAATAGGAATGATATTAGCTAATTAGTAAATTCTCATCATTTATGATCAATTAAAATGTTTACTTGATCAGTTTCAGTTTTTTATCTTCTACGATGAATGTTGCATCAAGTTCTGTCTCCAACTGACTACTGAAACAAATCGACAGTTTTAAATCTGTTTTAATCAGTCATGCATCGGAAAATTGCAAGTTCTTATCAAAGAATTAGGAGTAGCTAAAGTAACCAAAAATTTTCTCGAAAAAAGTAAATATCATGCATTATTATTTAAAAAGTTCAATTAAATAGTACCTATTAGAGTGAATCAAACTTTTTGCACTTCGGTCATTTTCTGTATTATCGTCATCTTCATCCAGAATGCTGGCACTACTTGAAGTATTGGAGAATACTTCTTCTTCTGCATCAGAACCCGCGAATGCTGCTAAGGATTCAGGGTCGTATAAGTTGAATGAAGCTAATTCCATTTTGCGAACAACTTTTGATATAGTAAAGTTAGCCCTGCGCCTCAGTGGAATCCCTTCCTTACGCATTTCTTCGAATCTGAATTTTTTTATTTTTATTCGATTTCATCGAATATTAAGAACAAATAAGTTAAAAGATAGTACCTTTTTCTGGCACAGTTACCACGATAGTAAGTTTGAATTGCAAGAATACTACGACAAATTTGTAGAAATTTTCTCTGAACTCTAAATCGCTTCCAGTTACGTTGAATCATCAGAGCAGCGTTGTATACTTCACGTAGGTGATTTCTTACGATCATTCCTCGAGTCAGTGCCTGAAAAGTAAACTTTGCTCTGCAAATTTTTATTTTTTTATTCGTACTGCAATGTTCTGTGTGTTGAAGGTATATTTGTTAATTAAGTTAAGAATATTCCAACTAAGCAAATAATTTAATTATTTCTGAAGTTTGTCTTTGCGCAAAAATAATATAAACTACGATGAACTTTTGCAAAATAAATAGAATAATCTAATTTCAAAACCAAATTTTTATGAAATTCTAAATGCGATCATTAAATTAAAATTTCATGATTTTCCCTTATTGAGAATCGCGAGACAACATTAATAATTTTTATTGATAAGAAGGCAACAAAATGTATTTGAGGTATTTATTACAACAAATCTGTTACAAATTTCACTACTTTGTAGCTAGTTTGTACCAGTAAGTGATGACTGCCAATAACTTTAAATCTTCTGAAAAAAGACCACAAGTTTTTAAGTACAAGAATTTTGCAAAAATATTGTTCATCAGTATTAATTGTTATTCACAGAATAATAATTGATATTGATCAACATTTTTACACATTGTTTATCAATATTAAATGTTGTTCAGAGAAATAAAAAAATTAAGTCGCGCACCTGAAGATTAATGATACTATTGCGCAACTTGACATATCTTCGCCTAACTATTAAAGCTCGAATGCATCGTTGTAAAATTTCTATATGCTTCATTATTGCACGATGTAAATGGTCGTCCAGAATTAACTTTTCTGCATCTCTCATGAACACCTAAAAAAGTGATGTGAACAAATTAACTAATCAGTAAAGGCTTTATTGAATACATGGACAGTAGGTTGTAGATAGAAATGTCTGATATAATTTAGTAAAATCTTACTTTTGTTATTCCAAATTGAACTTTATCACTGCCTATCATTGCATGCTGCGTTATAAACTCCTTAACACTTTGTACTGTACTTTCGCGGCCATTTGGCAACAAAATCCGGTATTGTTTGATAAAATCCTTGAAAATGAAATACAATTTAAAGTCAACTCACACCACAAAAACTAAACTTTAGCAAGCAACTCTGATAATAGTAGTGCTTTGCTGACCTGGTATTCAATACGAACACTATAACCTGCTCGACGTATCCGTACCGTTTCAAGCATACCTGTATATCGTAACTGTCGTAAAATAATATTATCATCAAAATAATTTGGAATCTGGAATTTTCTGAGTGTTAAATACACTTCTGTATATTATTAGCAACATAGATTGCACACTGCAAAATAATAAATTTTTCTCTTCTGTTAATAAAGAATTGAATCACTTTAAGTGAAATATCAGATGGCAAAATGGATTTCTTAATTTCTGATTTGTAATTTGAAGTTTTTTAGGATTATCAGTTTGCAAATAATGGGTTTGATAAGTTTATCAAAAGAATTCTTACTGCAATTGTATGAATGAAAGCAATTCATGAAAATGAGGATGTGAATTTATCTCTTTTTTTTTATGCAGGAGATTTTTTCTGAATACATAATGATATAGATATAGTGAAATATGTTGCACATATAATATGTTCGGAGATCATTTTTGATTTTGTGTGACTAAAAGATGTATACAGTACTCAACTCGTATCTTTTGTTAGTTGTAGTGGTTGAAGTGGGACAGAAAGTGAAAACGACGTGGAAATTTTTGAATTAATTGCATGGGACTGAAATTTGGTAAAAGTGACTGCTACTATATATTGTTAATAAAAAAATTAAATGAAATATGCCTTATCATTATTGGATTTAATGCATCTTATAAAGTAAGGCGTTGTTTGTGATAGCGTCTTCATAAGTCTTGATAACGAGTACTGGAATTGTTTGCTAACAGACGAAGGCTTTGCTGTGATGTGTTTATACTCCGAAAATGCTTTTACTGCCTGAAAATTATGTTCTGATTTAATTTTAAGTTTAAATTTGTAGCTATTGTATAAAAATGTATAACAAAAGGAAGATATAGTGTTTCTTGAATACTTGAACGAAAAATCGGATTAAATATTACGTGTTGTAATTTGTTGTAATTTATTAATGTATGGATTCATACCTGCAAGCTTTTCAGAACATTATGATTATCTTCCAACTGTAAACCTGGTTGCTTCCGTGCATGACTGACGATTGTATTAAAAAATGATGTATCACAGAAACCTGGCATCACTTCTGATGTAATTTCACCACGCAAAAAAGCGTGCAAATGCATATCTGAGCTAAATCCTTTTAAATTTCCACGTGTGTCATTAGATAATTTCCATTCATCATTTCTCTCTGAATAGTAAACAGTTTTAGTTCACACATTTCATCTCGAATCATACAAACAAATATTTTTTGCTACAAGTTCTGATTTTAAGAAATCGTACATCTTACATTAAGTGTTTTGAATTTATTGAATTATCAAGTATGTGGTGCAAATATGCAAGTACCTGATTTGAGCATTAATTTTCCTGCATGCCGGAAAGCGTTAATTGCCCGAAAAATTGCTCTTACAGTACCCCAACGAAATACTGCTACTGGATCAACGCCAACAAGTCCTCGGACAAAAGCGCTTTTACTTTTTTTAATTGTCATCAAGACTTCTTGTCGCATTAAATCTTTATTTTTCTCCCGGAAACCCTGGAAGAATCCTGGAAAAACTCTGGAATACGATGAAAAATGGCATTAAAATTATCTAATAAGAGCTATTTGATTCATTTTTCTTTGTAACTGACATCGTGTGTTTGTAAACTATGGTAGTGGTTACGCGAATGCTTTCACTTTCATTGGCGAAAAAATATTGAGGATTCTAGTTTTTAATACTCAAAATTGCTCAGATTTTAGCAAAAATTACCATATTGCTTACCTTAATTTGATATTTAACTTTCCCTGCGTAATGAGCAATGATGAAAGCTGATTCTCGTTTCTGCGGTGTTTCATAGTATTCATTATTACGCAAGAAATGATTGAGTTTATCAAGCATCGATTCATCAGTTCCGTTATTGATGTTACTTTCTTCGTCAATAAGTCGTAAAATGCCAAATGGTTTGCTCTAAAAGTTAGCAATAATTAACTTACTGAATTTTTTTATCTAAAATATAAATAAAAAATTGCCCAGATTTCTAGCAACTAAATCAATCTTTCTAAATATATGTAACTTAATCATTATTAATTATCTACTTGTATTATTATTTGTCATTAATTAACTGTGGTAGTTTTTAGAAAGACTACATTTGTCCACACTGTGTTTTGCTGTTTAGTTTTACTGATCACTCATCGGTGAATTAATAGTTTAAGTCTCTATACACATTTGAAGAAATCTGGTCTACTACTAAAATAAATAATTTTAACATACAATATTTCGAAAAAAATACATAAGGTTTCAAACTTACTCTTTGTGAATATATTATTTTAGCAACTTACATAAGCTAACTATGCGGTTGTGAATATGCGCTAGTAGTTTCACACATAATTTAAATTCTCTATTTAAATAACAGATCATTCGCTCAACAAATATTAAAAGTAAAATAACCTGAAATAGTTGTACACATTCAGTATTGTCAATGTATTCAATGTTTGTCCAGGTGATTCCTTCTTTCAAATATTCTTCCTAAAGAATATATTTAGATGAAATGTAGCATTCTTAAAAATTAGTATGATTGGTTTGCAGGTGGCAAAATTATAAAAATAGAGCATTCTTATGATATTAATGTTGAATGTTCGTGTAAATTTCTTTCACGTCTACTTGACGTGAAAAAATATGTCATTCTATTATTATTGAAAGATGTAATTTGAATTAATTTTCTGAAGTTACACTTAAGTGTTGTGATTCTAAGCAAATTCAAACTTGTTCAAATTGGAAGATATGCTGATTAAAATAAGCTTGTAAATGTTCATTTGCGTAATTAATGCAAAGCTGTTCAAATGAATTCCACTTTCCACCCACATCTTCGAATCCGAATATATCCAAAATACCTGAAGAATATTCAGTCTCATAGAATTTTTATGAAATGCATTTACTTTCATTGCTGAGTCGTGCTAAAAAATTACTTGGATGGTAATTAATTACTGAAAATAATTTATAAAAACTACACAGACTTCAAACTCCATAAGACTTTTCATTTTCGCTGTAGATACAGTCACAAATTTTCAGTTATTATAGTTTTAATCCAAACTAAACAATTCGCAATTTAGTACATTATTTTTAGTTATTTATAAATTAAAAAGTACATACATTTGTATTATTTGTCACAAAGAATATAACTGACAGATGCAGAAAGTAGATAATTTCAGTAGATAATTATTTGATTATTAATCAAGAAAAACAGGATAGTTTTATATTTTCTCAATAATTTATCTATATAAAATTATTTCCTGACGAATTTAGACCATAATTAGCACATATTCACCTATATAGTATCCATTTTTGGACGTAAGTCGTTCCTTTTTCAGCAGTGCTTGGTTCATACGTAATACGATCCAGTGAAACAGTGCATTGTACAGACACTTTGCCATAGCGTCACGTGTATTTTTTGCCTTAACTTAGTTGATTGATTACTTATTACGAGTTTATATAATTTCTTACTTACAATAAATATGAACATCTTTTGCTTTTATAATTTGCAAATTATTGACCTCGTTGACATTATATCTCGAGATGACGACATCATTCTTCATGACTGTTCGACGCATTGTTAAAGCTTGTTGTAGATTGGATGCCTTGATGTGAAGGAGAGTAGAAATTATGCCTAGCACTTCTTCATTATCAATATAAGCATTTTCATCGCTGTGATATCCTGGCCTCTAAATGTAGCAGTCATTATTTTTTTTTTGATTGCAATGTCACAGTTATTTCTCGATTATCTCAGAATCTGATCTCAATTATTTGCTCAATAAAAATTTTTCTATCAAATCGAAATTGCTTCATTCTTGCGAAGTTTGTATAGATTGAAGAAAGAGAAAAGACGATGCCCCATATGCTTCAGTAAGTTATATTTTAGAAAAATTTCGATATCTTGACGCTATTAATGAGAGAATTTATTATTCTAAGAAGATATCACAATCACCAATATTACTACTGTTCAAGAAATTGAACTATTTAAGTTCACAGGATGACCTCTGAGAAAAAAGTTACTAGACAGTTCAAATTATATGATCAGATTAGGAGAAAAAGAAAAAAATGAATACTACTCTTATAAGTTATAATTTATACTGTAGCTTACCTTAACATACTGTATATTTCCAAGCAGTAAAACGGAAGAAATAACAGTAAACATATTTTGTTGGGCTTGTTGCGAGAAGCCAACAGAATGCATAGCATGTTTGAGTCGTTGATACTCGTAACATTCGTTCACGCCTTCTGCTGCATAGAAATTATTCTAAAATTTGAATTGTTTTAGTAGTAATATTATAAGAACAAAAACTGAAGAATTTCGAAAATTCAAAAATTAAAAATAAAATTCAGTCTTAAGTCGGTGTAAAACTTCAATTATATCAATATGAAGGCAGTTAATTTTAACTGAGTACGTTTAAGGTAGGTTTTTCACGTGCAAAATGTGGAAAATTTGATTTGAATATTGTAGAAAAAGTAATTTATTAGTGAGCTAAGGCATGCTAGTCCTCAGTTTTTTTAGTTTTTTCGAAAAAGTGATATTTATGTAGTTGTATGCTTATTTATGTCTGTTCATTATTTTATTCATTTACTTGATTTAGGTAATTGTAATCATTCGGTTGCATTAAGTAATGATTCTTACGTTCTTCTTCCGTTGCACCATTCAATAAGTAATAGAAAACATGATAGTTTCTAGAAATTAAATAAGATTAATTATTTATGGCACTGTGAATCTTAATTTTTACACATTTTTATGAGGATCTTAAAGTAACGACTTGCTTTGTTGCACATAATCTCAGAATTTAATATTTTGCTCTATCCAGTCTAAAGTTAATAATTATGGTAAACTTGATGGGGAAGTTAAATTTCGAACGCAGATTTATCAAAATTAAATTATACCTTTCACCAACACCTTGCGAGATAATACGCGATTTTTCCAGCAAATAAATCTCAAGATTTGCCCTGAAAATTCTTAGTATTGGTGCTGGTTTATTAGATAGGTAATATTAATCACTGTTAAAGAATATAAGTGAAATATAAAATAGCCGGAAAGCATAAAAAAGAACACGCTTTCACATTAATATTTGTTATTCATTTCATTTATAAGTTAGCCCGATAAACCATTTAACTATGTCAGTAATAAGTAATGAATATCCATGTTTAAAAAACGTTATTTAATTTCACTGCTTGACCTCATTTGACCTCTATTGAATGTGATATCTTCAAAGAAAGCACCAAACTTTTCAGACTCTATTTATTAAAAGATAAATAATAAAAACACACCCAGAAACCATTCCGTTTTCTCGATAGTTCACTTTAATGAACTTTCCGAATCTACTGCTGTTGTTATTCTGTACTGTGACAGCATTGCCAAAAGCCTTCAAAAGAAACAAGCAAACTAATAATTTATTCATAATTTGGATTGAAATCTTATTTAACACTCATTAATGGATTTTTCTAATTGATTTATTAATAAATTCAGAATTTTAAATAAAAAAGCAAACTTCGAGTACAGGTCCTGCGGAGAGTAACGTTTGTTCAACAGAACTTCCAGTAGATGAACCTTTCTGACTAAGAGTTGTTAAATGATGCAAAAGGAAATTAGTCGATTCAGTTTTCCCTGAACCTGATTCACCGCTAATCACAATGCATTGATTTTTTTTGATCCGTAACATGCTGAAGCATTTTGTATCTAGTTTTACCTTCATGATCAAGTATGAAATGTATTCTTGGAATGCTTCGTGAAATCTTTCGCATCACTCACTTTACGCTAATATACTTTGCCCGAATTTTTAATTTGTAAAATTTTAGGTGCCAAGTAAAGAAAAGTATTCTAGTTGAAGAAAAACGTTGAAAAAACCAACGTTTGAAGCAATATATTATCTATTTAGTCATTAAAAGTGCTTTGTAAATTGTTATAATTGAGGATTCAAACAAACTTTACAAATTTAAATGTATATTTTTGAAATATTGTTTGTACTTAAATAAATCAAATCTATATCAAACTTGATTTCTTGAATCTGAACAGAATTTTTTTTAAACTTTCTATTTTATATTTTTTACCAAGATTGTGTTCACAGTAGCATATTAAATTGTCAGTGCTGGTAGGACAGCAAACAAGCTGAGAAATATTAAACTCACAACTTTTATAATAAACAGATTTAGCAGGAATTAATGCATTAATTAAAAGGAATTACTTATTACTTTAGATATTGTTACAAAAATAACTATTTCTGATATTGTGCTTAGTTATGTATTGATTTTGATTGATAATTGCAAAATAAGTTTTGATTAGACATAGATGTACCTACCTGTGATAAGTGATACCAGCAATGGCAAAAATGTGTGGTGGCATACTACCAAGTTGCCGACTTTGGCAATATAACCGAGCATATTTTGGATTATAAATAGGGAAAAAGTTGAAAGGATTGACAGCAACCAGAATAGGCCCTACAAAGTACAAAACCTTAGCAACAGCATTCTGTAAGGAAAATTTGAAAGGTTAGAGATGAACTTTGTGGACCAAAATGAATTATTCAGTTGCTTAAGAACCGGCTTCATTTTCTGGCTGTGAGATTTAATTTTAAAAAATTGCAAATGTTTCAAAAAAAAGAATGAATTCCAAGTGTGGATAGAAATAACTTTAATAAATGATTAGTGTTGATTGAAAGTATATTATATAATCTTTTTGTTTCACTGAACTGATTCTTCAAACCATTTTCTTATTCGTTTGAAAGCAATAAAATTTAAAAATATTCAAAACAGTTTCAAATTAAACTTTTAATTAGTACTCAAAATGAAAAAGTATTACAGAAATTTGTTACGAGAGTTTTATACTGTCAAACTAAAAACAACTAAGAATAAGAGTTGGTTACCAATGTATGTGTAAATATGTCCACTTGCGAATCGGTCTTTCAAGTTGTCAAGCAGTGTTTGTTCTGTAAGCTCAGGAAGCATACATAAATCAGCATATTCTCGATCCTGAAGTATGACTTAAAATTTACGATGAAAATAATGAAAACTAACTTGCTTTAATTTGTTTCAAACTATACAAACTTTTTCTTGTTATAAAATAATTGCTACAAATTTTATATATGTTGATCTATTTGATAAAAATTTTTTTTGTACAACATATGTAATTATTTGATAATAAAAAGTTTGTAATTATATCAGTCAATTGATAACAAACTTGAGGTTGTATTAAGAATTTCGCTAGAAATGAATCGATTGTACTTGATGCATTTGTGGATCCAAAATGCACGCCATCAGATATTAATGATGAACCACGGGGTCTGTTATTTTAAAAATTGATAATATATATTTATAGAAAATAGTATTTTTGAAATAGTGTTATTGTGTTGATTGAAATTCGATTTAGATATCTCCTCAGTATTTAAAGGGTTTGAACTAGGTTGTTCAGGCATTCTCATTCTATCAGCTCAATTTTGAGAGAATACAAGAGCGCTTATTCGTGTTAGAATGATGTGTTTTCCTACCGAAGAAAAGCAGTGATTTATGGATATCTTTGATTACCATCATTTTGTGAGTATTTTTAGGGACGAGTTATTTCTAAATGAGATTTCCAAGTCAGAATCAAATGATCACTTAAAATATTAGTTTATCAGAAGAACATCTATGCATACGGCGGTAAAGAAGTTACTGCTTGACCTTTGATTACAATACAGTGCTAGAAATGCTTCATTTTTTATATGATATTTATACCTCAAAACAAGGCGATTTTTTGGCGCAGCTCCATCGTTATCGTTTTGCTGGGGTTTAGCCCAGAGCATTTGCACAGCCACTGGATATTCTCTTCGGTCAAGCTTGCGCTCTTTGAAGGTCTGTCCATCTAAGGTACCCATAATTTCATATACATCGTAATCTTCTGCACATTGATGCTCTAGTTCTGTAAAATATTGTCGTATATTGGTTGACTGATAAGTTTTCATAATCTGATAATGTTATTATCATTGTGTTTCAGTAATACAATTAATCACTGCTTAATATTCTTACAGTAATCTTTTGTCCATCTAAGGTACAGTAGTACCTATAGTGTTTTTTTTTTTAATGCACTAAGCTTGTTCTAAAAGTTATTCATAATTACTTGAGCTTCATTGATCCCACACAAATATTCTAATTTTTTATCTAATAGACGCTAATATTATTGGACGAATTTGCAGTGTTTTGTTCTCAAAAAAAATAATCATGAAGAAATATTCTCTGTTCATATTCTCAAAATATCTGCGTATAAAAATTCTAAAATCAAGTCAACTTACGACTTCAAACTTATTTTAACTGAATTCGTTAATCAATTTTTGTATGAAAGATTACCTTGTCGCTGATGCAAAACTTTCTCAATCAGTTCTTCAGTAGTTGCCCATTTGTGAAAGTCAAATGTAATACGATCTTTGTATGAATCCGGATTAAATGAATATAAGTAAACAACAACAGATTGAAAGTGTGAATCATCTACAGAATTAGTAGCAGAATCAAGCGTTAAACAACGTCTTGAATATACGTTGCTTATAGTGTTAATAGATTTTAACGGTGTTGTTGAATCAAAACTCATACTGCAATTATCTAATATATTTTAATAATAAACTGGGATAAAAAAATATTTTTGATTATTTTTATTCGTTAAAAAAAAAAACTTACGATTTCAGACTTATTTTAACTTTATTAAAATATTAAAAAGTTTTAGATATATGAGACACACACATGTTTATATCTACGGAACATGAAGCAATTCAAACATTTTATGTTAAAGTATCGGAATTTTACGTAAACTGGGATGACAAAGTCACTTTGTTTCCGACATTTTAACATAAAATGTTTGAACTGCTTCATGTTCCGTAGATATAAACATGTGCTGCAAAGCAAAATATTTAGATTCTTAAACTTCAATTACTTTCATTACTGAATCATTCTGTGTGTTAATGGTGGTATGAATATTTTTAGCTATATAAAATAAACAGTTATTTTTAGGCCTGAAAGTAAAAAGTCGAGTTTTGATCCACTTTCTGTGACTTTTCTCGACCCAATTCAATAAATCTCAAGTACTTTTCATGGACTGCAATAACTTTAAAATATTTTGATCAATGAAATACTTCCATATTTCAGGCTTGTAAAGAATAATTTGATTTATACTTGTAATCAATTCTTAGAATCGATTGCAAAAATTTGTATAAAATTTGAACTCATAAATGAATCAAAATTTGAATAGCTGAAAATACTTCACAATTTACAAAAAATAGTGCATGAAATGTATATTTCTTTTAGAAAAAAATAATCTAATTTTGTGTATGAAAAAAGTAAGAAAAGGTGAACAGAAGAGAAAAGATATAATTAATATGTTGGGAAAGTTTACAGCAAGTGAAGAAGAACAGATGCATTTTGATAGGGCAAATATCAGAGGTGGAAAAATAACTTTTAGATGAGACTTAAGCAACGGATGAAATGACTAACCAATTGTATCAAAATTCACTTTCAAAGTTTTTAAGCTTTTAGCTTATGCTGTATTCGTATACTATATAATATATTCAGTTATATAAAATAGAAGCATGACATTGTAATGTCATAAAATACAATTTGAGTATAATTATTTTGCAAGTATAAATTTGATCACTTACTTGCGGAACAAAGTAAACTACACATTGGATAACAATCCTGAAGGAATGAATAAGTATTTTTGTTCAATTATTGTAGTGTAAATTAGATAAAGAATGAATTTTATCTATAAACTAATATTTTATGGAAAAATATTGCAAAATATTACTTAGTAGACAACTAAAAGTTTATATAAAATTGTGCATAAGTACAAGTAATTGAATTTAAATTTAGGGGTGGGATTATTTGCACTGTGATGAATTCACAAGGGATAAAATGTTGTGACTATACAAATACAGTAATTATTTGAGAAATAGTTATCAGCAGTATTGATATTGTATAATGCTTTTAATGCCTTGCATAAAGCGATGATTATGTAATAAAGTCAATTATTACTAAAATTCCATTAAACAAGTAATTCTAGCACTGAGTGAATTTTTCAAATAACATAGAAAGTTTAGCAAAATATTGTATCAAACATATATAGTATAATACAAGTAAATTATTAGCTGGAAAAAGCACAGTGTACATAAGTTAAATTGTTACAAACAGAAAAAAATATGAAAAGATAACAGCTCAAAGTTAATAATATGATTAATGATTATCTATTTGTTTCTAAACAAAATATTTTGGGAAGAAAAGCACTGGAACTAGGTTAATATAAGGTTAATTAATATTTTCTACACTACTATCCGTTATTGATTCAATGATAGTTGTAAATAACCAATGATAAATCCTTGACGATGATAATAGTTTACGAAGTTAAATCTAGCATACTTAGCTTTCGTCAATATGTGTTGTTGATCATTGTAATATCCCACCGCTTCTTTGCTTACCACTTTATATTGTTGTCAGCTGTTGGTGATGATATTTATATTTTCAAGAGTATGATTTTCAGAAACTATTTTTCTTTCTTCTTTTTGTATTCTGTCATCACTTGTTAAAACTTTTTACTTCAGTTTATCTACGAGGGTGTACCGGTGAGATGTGTGTAGGATTTGTGTATAAATGGTTAAATGCATACACAAAAGTATGTAAAGAAAAAACTTTTTATTTGATATTTTATCAAAGAATTCAAAAAAAGTGGTTTCCACAATAGTGCTACAAATTAGCACCAGTAATATTGTTAAGCTGGCAAACAATGAAAAGTAATATTACTAAAAGTAGCTACAAAATAAGTAGGTTAATAATTAGACAAATAATGAATGAAGCTCTCACATTATCGTTGACGTCCAATTGCTGTTTCGGTTAATATTTAATCCAGTGCTGTTGTTGATGATCAGAAGTGTAGAAATGTCTGTTGTTCAGATTGTAAAGCAAAATTTTATTGCTATTTTTTAGCATTCCACAATTTCGTGAGATTGCCTCAAGAAGTAAAACGGTGCAATATTAGCAAAGATATGCAAAATAGTTATCAGACTTTTTTTTCACTGTAATATAATCATGCATTCTCAGATAAAAGTAACAATAATTATGCACAAAGTTGACGTGGTTCATGTAATATAACGAGCAAGTGATTTATGCTTTTAATTAATCAACTGAGAAAAAAAATTTTGACGTAAATTAGATAACATTACATATAAATTTGATTTATTAAATAAGCTAAGAAAATTTTTTTATAAATTTGATAAAACATTAACACTCGAAGCAATTTTTTGCACCATTCAATCAGAAAATTACATTTCTTTTCATTCTCGGTACTAAGCCTTAATTAACATTTACGTGCTCGTATTGATTTTGACTTCAAATTTCTTCACAAATCAATCACTGTCACAGAAATTTTGGTGCATATTTTTGTGTAATTTTTCCAAATTTGATAAATTATTTGAAATTTGCACTCTGTTTAGTAGTTTCTTTTTACCTTTTGTTTGCTGAATTATCAATCAAACCCAGTCCGTCTAAAATGAAAAGTTTTCAATAAATTACCCATAACATGTTGCATACATTATGCTTGTACATGTCAAAAAAATAAGGATAAAATTGATTGCACAGTTAAAATGTAACTATCTTATAATTTACTGCTCAAATACTACTGATACAATTGGTCTGTCATTTCATCTGTTGCTTCTTGCTAAAAAGTATTTTCTTAGTAGAAATATTTTTATTACATATGTTACTGAAATTTAATTTTCAGATGCTCATTTCTGCCGAAAGCACAAATAGTTGACACTGAATTATTAGTGACAGAAGCAGAATTTTTCCTCGCACAAACATTTAAACGACTTCATTACTTATATTACTTATTATTTTACCAGTTTCAAATAGGCTTTCAGATATGTAAAAGCTATAATAATAATATATCAAAATTTACACAAAATTCTGACCTTACTTTGGATATAATTCCAAGTTAATATTGCGTAGCAGTTGCTCGCTGCATAATATTTTATTGACAGTAAAATATGTCAAAAAAAACCAAGAATAATTGTTTGGTTTGAATTTTTCAAATTCATTTGCTGAAAATTTGGTAATGAGGCAGTTTCTTCAATGTTTTTCGGCAAAAAATTTAATATAATGAGATAAATCATATTTCAATTCCTACTAAATAATTCTCGTAAATTATAAAATTTTTTTTTTTCAAAATCATTCAAACTTCATTGAACAGATCATTTTTATCTGTTGCAGCCATGCAAATTTATCATTTGCAAAGTAGAATTTTAAAAAATTCATTTTGCAAAAATGTCTGTAAAAGACTACAAGCGAACAACAACTGCTTATTTTTGAGGAAAAAACGTTTACAAAGTGAAAACTAAAAAATGATACAGCGTTGATCGATATGACGCACTAAATCAGCGCAAGCAAAATGCAAATTTCTACGTGTCGCGTGGGATTTTCAGAAGACAGTTGTATGTAATTTTGATTTAAATTCTTTGATTTGTATGCACATTGAAGTCACCAACTTGTTCATTGTTGGATTCAGCGAATCAGATTGGAATTTAACATTAAAACTCAATTACTGCCATCAGTTTCTACTGCAAATGCTGTATGAAATAAGTTTCCAAGAACTTCATGGTCGACTATCACAATTTTTATCAGTTAATCCCACTTCGCCACAATTAAAGCCTTAAGTACATTGAGTAATTAAGAATATACAATTCTGCAAATTGTTTGTGTATTTCCAATTCAAAAAGCAAATTCATAATTTATGAACTTTATAATCCTTCCAAAGCCTCTGAAACATTTACAAAAATTTCCGCTGTATTCAAACAAATTCCTCTCAGCAGACTTTAACGTGTTTTGACGGAATTCAAATCAAATCGTACTGTACATTCGACAAGTTGACTGCAAGTGAATTCTGCATAACTTTGTAACACTGTGCAGCGTCTGAATTTGCTAGGAGTCAACCGAAAAATTTATAGAAAATATTTTCGAGATAGTTTTGCAATTAAGCACACTTTACTTTATTAATGATTTGAATTTTTCCATATTCTGAATACTGTTTTTAAATAAGAAGACTGCGCGTAACGCAGTATTTTGACTACTCTTTGTAGATTGCATGCTCGCACAATTGTGTGCAATTACATTTCTGCATTATGTAGTGCATACAAAACTAATTCTGAATGAAATTCTATTAATTGAAGATTTCTGTGCTCAATAAAAGATCAGAAATGAATGGGACAGATCAAAACGACGCTGATCACAAACATTTATTGTTCGAAATTTCTAGATTCCAATAAATGAATAATATAATTTAAGTTTGATTCCTTTGAATTAGCAGTATGTTTCAGCACAGACTGTTTAAATCAGTACTGGATCAGTAGCTCAACTGAAATCAGTAATGAACAGGTATTGTTATATAACTGTTAATATGTTGTGCATGAGCTCATTTTTTATACAATTAAGGGAGACTGTGCAAGTAAAATCAGCAGAGACTTGCAACATTTCAATTTTCGCACGTTCCAGTGCCCCGGTGGATTACAGCATCAGCACAAGAAGGGCTTTTCTTGTGAACAATCGGTTAGCGCAATCTGAAACAGAAGTCAAAACCTATGATTTCTTGGCATTACAGTACACTGCTCTCCACTCTGAACGACATAGGGTGACTATGTGGTTGGCAGAGGTCAGGTCAAACTCTGGAAATTTTGTCGCCTTCCTTCTCTATCACTTTCAGAATTTACCGCTCCACAACCAATTTCCGAAAATTTAGCCACCAAAATCTTTTCTGTATTCGAAATTTAGCCCTATTTTCGAATGTCTATCAATTATTTATCTCAATCTGTGGCAAAATTTTTTACCAAAGCGAAACTGTTCGACAAAAATGTGCAAAAGCATGACATATTTACAGCCAAATAAAACTTGCTCAGTGCTAAGTGATGCAGAAGTAACTCCAACTTTTAGCTGTTCAGCGTACGTGAAAGTAATAAATCCTTTGACAAGCTCCACTTTCCCATCCTTACCTCTCAACTTTTGGCAATAAAAATGACATAAATCACTTCTGTCACAGCTGCTATGTAACTCCTCTGTCTCTTTTCATACCTTCACAAAACTAATAATTTGCGACTCCTTCGAAAGAGATAATCACTGCTTCTTTGTCCTGCTAACCTAATGCCAAACTGATGAGACATCTAATTTTGTAAGTATATGCGAGAGTGACTTTCAAGTACTTGACCTTTATCCTATACCTGATTTGATCTACTTTATGTGCTCAGGGGTCAATGATGAGGACTGAATTTGAATGTATGCTCTCACAAGCGTTGAAAAAAATTTTCATTCTTTTTTCAAACAGAAATTAAATGTTAAAATTCACTAATTTGATGAAACCCGCTCTTCAACCTTTTCATATCACCGCGTAGATAATTCAGGCATTCTAAGCCAATTACTCGTGGAAATTTAGGGTAAATTTTTTAGAGGTCACGTTTGGGTATTCAGTACAATTTATTTGCTTAAAATTACTTCCAAAATTTGATAAATTTCAGTAATTTCCTGTAAATATTTCTCACTATTCCTTAATAAAATACATGTTTGATTTTAATGAGAGATATTTTGCATCACACTTTTAGCTGACTGTATTTAGAGTAAAATCGCTTTTGAAGTTCTGAGCTATATATAAAGCATCTTAAATGCAATATTTACTCCTAAATCGAAGCATGTAAATCAAAATTACATTCAAATTAACAGCGTAGTCGCATATTAAAATCGCCTTGAACGAATGATAATTTAAGATGTTGACGTTGTTAAATTATTGAAAATAAAAATTCTGTTAGTATTCTGGCACTTCCATGCAATTAATTTTCAACAGTACTTATAAGTGTTACTATTATTACTTGAAAAATATTGCATTTTGATAAAGAAAATTATTCAGAATACAAAAATGAACATGAATGTTCACCGATAAACAGTGAAAGTAGTCTGGAAAGCGGAAGGGTCACTTGAGACTTGTGCAGTACAGTTCAAGTATTCAGCAGTATAAACAAATAATTGCGATTGATTATCGTTCAAGAATGCCCCGAAGGCTAGAGTGCTCTTTTGACGGTGTTGAAACGCTAACAAAAGTTAAGGCTAAAGATGGATTTGACTGAGATTCGTACATATCAGTGATTGACAAATATTGTTTTCAACACAATAACAGTCAGTATGTTCAGTAATACTTTTGTCCATTTTTGTAATAAATACTGTATGTAACCGAAAGCATCGATTATAGCAATTATCTCGCACAAATAAAGTCAATTACAAAATGCGATAAAGCAAAACACATTGCATCGCTCTCAGGCGATTAACTCGCAGTTGATACTCACTGCACTAATCGCATGCATTCTGTACTCAGTGTTGTCAAGAGAGATGGGTAATTATCTTCGAGTACAAAAGGATGAGAGCGATGACTGTAAAAAGAGCACACATATGCGGAGGCAAACATGACGGGACAATAAAGCAAAACAAGAGCAGTTTTGAAGAGCCGTCATAAATCATCTCTAAGTGCTTACATCATTACTACTCCGAAAATGCAATATTCGTTTTGCCTGAACACCCTATTTACGCCTTCTTTTACGTGACATCAACATTCCATTCATAGCACTTTCACACTTTTTTACTGAATTCAGGCATTTACTCAGTCGATTTCTTATCATTGAATAACACCTAATTAGTTATTTACAACATCACGAACTCAATAAAGCAGCCCTTAGTAATATTGCTGCTTTTGCAAACTTTTACAATAGTTTTGTTTGCATTTGAATCAGACTGCTTTCATTTGATGTGCATAATGCAAATATGAAAATTAACTTAGTCGAAGAGTTTTTTTGTTCTTACGAAAAGAAATGGCTTAGCTAAATATTCAAAGCAGTCACTTTGGGAGGGAAAAAATAGCAAGCAGTAAAGTTAGATGCAAAAATAAGTTCACGAGATTGCATCATCTGAATGCACTGACTATTTACTGTTCATCAACAAGTATCTATCGTTTACATTCGTTGGTAGTTCAGTCAAGTCAAACAAACTATTCTTGCTCGCACTTTGTTCATTTGTTTAGATTTATTGTCACCAAGAGGTCAGGTAGTTCGTAAACTTCGCACATTGTTTTCAAGTTAGGGTATGCACAGCTTTGTCTCTTCTCACCAATAAACTGTTTATGCTTCTCACCGTGCAAGACACTAATAATAGTGCTGAGAGGCGGAATAACGAAGTGGAAGGAAGATTGAATCTAACTTGAAGAGCACCGAAGCAGAGATTGATTATAAAGTGAAAAGCCTTTGAAATCGCTGAGACTTTGTTGGATAGCAAGCAGGACTTGCGCGGAGATTTGCAACGGGGACGGAGGGAGAAAAAGAGTGCTGGAAGGGCAGAGAATAAGTCACCAACCAGTTGCGTACTGTATTTTTTGGGAAGAAATTTGCAAATTTTCTTCCTTTTTTCAGGATTTAATTGAATTGCATAAAAGTTGAGACTCACTGATCAAAAAAAATATTTATTCCACAATATCAGAAGACAAAAAATTTCAGTGCAACGTAGATTCACGTACAAAAATAAGTAGTACAACGTTTAATTTTTCACGACAATAAGAAGTGGTACGGCACTTGATTTGCATTTATTTATATGAGATCCTTCATCAGTGAATTCGAAATTATTGCAAGCATTATCAAAGTTACAGTTAGTACTGCTGACACAAGCATCAGTATTTGAATATTAATCAGCAAATGCATTCAACTGAACAATGAATAGCTAGCAAGTGAAAATTATAAGCAGATTGTTGAGCGGTCGCTAATATGGAGAAAATTTATGGAAAGACATGTTCTAGTCGTTTACGGTAGAGAAGAGTTAATATAATCAGTAACATTACACCACAATAAGAAAACGTGAATCAAAATACTATACATGCAAGTAAAACAAACAATGTTTGATCACTGAAATGGGAAGTGGAATCAAAGGTCAAAGGTAGAAGGTTTCATGAAAAAAATTGTTGTTTTGTTTCCCCATTAGTACCCGCTCATGTGGAAGGGAATGAAAATATTCCCTTCGGTCGTTAGCTGCAAAATCAGCCATGCTGGTATTGTGGATGATAGTAATCTGTTCGCATTGTTGTGGATTCGTTGTGCTGTTGTGGATTTGTTATGATGTTGTGGATGGTTCTGCTGCTGGTGGCCATCTGTGATGGATGCTGAAAGAGTTCGTTTTGTTCATAAAAAAGCATCTGTTGATCACTTATCGAGTTTTGTAATCGTTGCTCGAACGGTACTTGTGGTTGTTCTATTTCCCACACTGGGTGAAGTCTCAAATTATAATTTTGCTCTACCAGTGTGTTCTGCACTTGTTCCCTTATGAAATGTTCTGTTCTATGAGTGTTTTGCTGTTGCTGTTCCCCCAAGTACTGGCTCTGTGAAGACTGAGCACTTGTGGCTGGGATGTTGTTCAACACCCTACCCACCATATTTGTGGGTATTCGTGGTATAGCATAAGGCGAGTTGCGTTCCCTCGACCTCGTACCGCGTCTTCTTGGGATTTCCCGAGCAACTTCATCTACGGGAATTCCCATTCCTACTTGCTCTTCTAGCTGCACTGAAATTTACTTTCAAATGTCAAAAATTGCTCTGTACATTAATGGTATTATACTTTTGTTACCATCATTACTATCAAATTTTGAAAGTATTTTCAAACTGATTATAAAGCAGTTATATTTTTTAAAAAAGATTTCAAATAAGACCAACAAACTGTTGGAGATGAAAGTTAATAGTACAGAATCCAAAGGATGGTAGTAAAATAATAGTAAGTGACAAGAATCAGCTTCTAGATTGAAAATAGAAGTCTGGAATGGAATCTAAAATGCTCTCATTGCAGCTTGAAGATTTTAAGCATATCGATGGAAAGAGTCTCATGAGTTTTGCTAATAATAACTGATGGTCACTAATTTCTATAATTTTAGTTTTTCAATAAATTATCCATATTGTTCTTTTAAACGCAGCACTTAACGTGATTATATACTGATGATTATGGGATGATTAAATTGACTGACTCTTTGAAAGGTTTGCATACCATATCTGATAGTATATTAATGAACAAAATCCTTAAGTCTTTCCGTATAATCAGTTACTAAATAACAGTTGTTTGTTTGTTTGATGTGACCGCCTACAATTGCCAATTAATACTACCGAAGTGATTTCCATGCGAGAAGATAACTTAAACGATGAAATGCTTTTACGTGAAAAACAGTTTGGAAACGATAAGCAGAAATTAAAAATGATATCAGCAATAATTAACAAAATGGAAGTGAAGTGAAGTGAAGTGAAGAGAAGAGATGTGAAGAGAAAAGGATTAGAATTGTATCAAAAGGTCAGATCAAATATAAACAAATGGCAGAGGTGACTGATATTGGCATCATTTTTGAGTTTTACTAGAGTGACAGGTAAGTTGGAGATATTTGAATAGATAAGATAATTAGCAAATTTGCATAAGAAATAATCCCCACTTACTGGAATAGTTATTTCGAGTCTGTAGTTCATCTCTTACAATTGAAGCGAAATCATCTGTTTCCAAAGGTTGAGTGCCTTCAGGAGGTGATAGTACCTAAAAAGTTATTTATGAACTCAAAAGTGGACAGCAAATGATAAAAGTCAAAAGTTTGCTCAGAAGCTGTATTTCATAAAAAACTTTACATTCGCTAAGTGCTTGATATATGCGTTCGCAAGAGATAGCGTTTTAATTCTAGGAATATTTTGGTCTTGTGGAAGGCACGGAATGCGACTCCGCAGTAAATCATAGCCTGCGCGCATATCTTCGTTTCTTGATTCCTCAAATAGCAGTCAGTTATTTTCCGAAACATTCTTTAAAATAAAATAGTCGATTATAATTGAATATCAGGATGAAAATTCATAATTTTCAAAGACAAACTCTTCTATTTGGCTGAACTTCTTCGTTGCTTTCTGTTGCGTCAAAATCCATAACGAAACAACTGAAACGTAGAGTTGTCAGTTTCAAGAACGTAAAACATTAACTGGCACATTTTTAAAAGTAAAAACAGTGATGACTGAAATCAGAAACTTTGTCAGAAGCTCATCGATTTGCATTTCTGAAGCGCAGAAATAGTTTGCTTTTTTCCACATCACACTACTTGTGTAATTAATATAAACACAATTACAACACAATTATTAACGTTCCTCACAAATATTGTCTCACTTGTGCTCTTCAATCCTAACTTAGAACAGTTACAATAAAACAAAAAGAAACCAATTTCAAAGTTTTTAATCCAATTTGTGAAAATTTGAGTGTACGGTAACTATGCTATCATCAAGAAATACAGTCTTAAGTCTGTGAAAAAGACAAATATGAAATGAAATGATCGAATTAGTCGAGGGGTCAAAATTGAAACTGTATTTTGAATTGAAATAATAATACCATTTGACTCGCTAAATTTGTAATCATGGATTGTTATTACAAGATATCTAATGGAGGATATTTCAGATAAGGTAATGTAATGAGAACAAGTAACAAATGTGACAATCAGCCTGCCAAGCAACTGACTCACTTGCGTACTTGTGATAAAAATGAACTGAAAAATGAGGACGCATGGCGCAGTTAGGTTAAAGGTCAGATGATCCAATCAGGTCATGTTCCCTCCTTTCTAGGTCCTGCCCTTCATCTTTTTTGACTTTTGACTTTTATGTTTACTTCACTCAATCTCAAATTTTTTAAGTTATTCCCAAAATATTTTGTCTTGGTCAATCACACTTGCAGTAATTCGTGAGTTTAATAGATATCCTGTACACAATAAATTACTTACAGTTGAAGTTTAATGGATATTCGCATAAATCAGTGACTTTGACACCTATCATAACTCTGGGAAAAAGGTATAACTTTAGTCTCTGACCACAATTTGTTCTTTGGCCGATTACTGTGTGGTTTGCCGATACTTCGCAAAAGTATCGGCAAAATCTGCAGTACATATAATTGGTATAC